CATGATGAAAGTTGAAACCTGTAATGTTATTAGTTCTCAACGTCACTGTCGTTTTCGTATCACGGCGTATTGGCAGCAATTGAGAAAAGAGTTTAGGATCTTTTTTCTTTTCTTTTTTAAAAGACAACGTCCGCATTAGGAATATATCCTGTCGCGGGGGACTTTACAAACATACATGAAACGGACACAAAGAACACTCAGACTCAGAACAACAATTTGTGGATCACACAAAGTGTCGTCCCATGTGGTGTTTGAACCCACAACACTTGGCGCAGTAAGAAGCGGCGTGGCGACCGCTTAAACCATTACGCCATCCGTACAGTCTTCAGATCTGTAGCCATACCTGCCGATTTTTTGTTTTTAAAGCATACCATCAACTGGTTAATTAATTTGTTGATGACTAGTATTGCTTTTTATATGGTAGCTGTTTTATGTCCGTTGTTTAAGCCCTGACAACGTGTATTTCATCACGATCGGATGAGTAGTTAAGGTGCATAAGTGTAACAAACAAAGTAACATCCACATTACAGTTTTATTGGCGCTGGTAGCTCGTTATCTAAACAAATGAGGTAAACGAAATACTTTTATCAGAGCCTGTCAGTTACAATTTTATACTTTTATCTGGGCCGTGTGTATTGATAAGATTTAAATCACGACAGTATATGTCTGATACTGAACAAAGCATTCTCTCGATTTCTTAAGATATCTGAATGGGTCACCGCTGGTCATCTGACTGCATTCTTGTTTATCATAAAAATGTTTCGTGGTAAACATAAAAACTTGAATGAAATTGTTTAGACTAATAAAACATTGACAATAACTAGATGATTAAAAGAATCTAAGATGTTTAGATGTTCTCGAATTTACTTAGATGTATTTGATTGACTTGATGATTATACGTATGCAGGTAAATAAGTAACGACTTTAATTAGTGTCTAATAGTCCTTTTAGACCACTAATTACAACCTTTTTTTTTTTCCCCTGCGGAAATCCCCTCGGATACCACCTGTCGGTGGCATGTCGGACTCGAACCGACTAAAACCGCACGCCGTCTCGGGTACTAATAGCCGGGGAACCAGGTATACCCTAGAAAGGAAGTCCCTGGTGCCCCGACATACCTCGGGTCATCTACAGACGAGTAGACGACCCCCCCCCGTGTGGGAACCCCATGTTCCCTGTGCTCCCTGGAAGCGAGCGCGCTTCGCAACGCTCTCGCCGCCACCACGGCCTGCTTCAGCTAGGGTGACAGATGGCCTCACCTGTCACCCCCAGGCCTGCGCTTATGGAGGACGGAGGTCGTTCTGCGACCTCCGGCGACTAATTACAACCTGTATTTTAATTCTATCAGGAATCTAATCTAAGAAGTTGAACTGTTCAATTATGGTAGTACCTTCAGCCAACAGAAACATAAGTGTACCCACAGAGGGTTGGTTAAAAATAATAACAGGACAAAGAAATATATAATTGTTTTTGGTTGGCTGACAACTTTACGCAGGCGAATATAATTGGGATGGGATTAATTTTTGACTGTTTAGTACTATCGTATGTTAATAGTCGATAATAGTGGGGAAATGAGCTAAATTTTTTTTCCATTCCGTTAAACGCTTATACCAGTACTTTACAGCTCCATTAATTATCATTATGTTTATGAATTGGCAACTGACGTGAATAGTGAACCTTTGTTTTTACGGCATAAGGGGGCCAACGAGCAGACGTGTTACCTGATGGTAAGTGACTACCGCCGCCCATTGACACCTACAACTCAAGAGTCATAAGTGTGTTGCCGCCTCTGAATACTTCCATCTGGAGCAGGGTTTCCCAAAGTGGTCGATATCGAGCCCTTGGGGTCGGGGGTCGACATAAACGAAAACTGATTTTGGGGGTCGACGAGGTCTAAAAATAGACCCTTATTAATTAACACAAGTTCTTATTTGAAACTTTCAGGATACCGTATTAGTTCATCATCATCTGCCTACCCTTTTCCCAATTTTATTTGGGGTCGGCGCAGTATGTATGATTTTTCCATTCTACTCTGTCATGCGTCATCTCACTGTTTACTCCCTTCCTAGCCATATCCTCCCTGACGCAGTCCATCCACCTCTTCTTCGGTCTGCCTCTTCTCTTGTACCCTTCAACTCTCATACCTAAAACTTTACATTATACCGTATTAGTTGTGTTACGTATACCAACTTGTTATAAGAATGACTAATATTTTAGTAGGAAGTATTAGTGTTGTACTTTTAAAAAACTTAACAATTCGATAAGCATGCAGTAGTTCGGCAATGGGGGTCTGAGGTATCAGTTCATTTTAGAAAAGGGGTCTCTCGTCCAAAATAGTTTGGGAATCCCTGACCTTGAGTGAGGGCGAGGGGTTGTGAGCTCCAGTAACCTCCTTCATTCGGTGAACAGCAAAGAAAGAATTGCTTAGCACCCGGTTTCTGTGAGGCCGTGGTAGCACTCGTATTGACCCTACTTCTTTGTGCCGAAGCATCGCTCTCTCATGAGGTTTTTAGTAATTTAGTTTAGTAATGTAGTTAATTTAGTTTCACATCACATCATCATCAACAGCCTGTAATAGTCCACTGCTCAACAAAGGCCTATCATTAGATAGGAGGTTTTGGCCTACTATACTCCTCTGGCCAGACGGTTTGGTATAGGGTTTGTTTCAAGTTTTCCTTCTCTTTGCAGTGCTGTTGTCCTGCGTAGTTTGCTTCTTTAGTCGGCTCTTACGACACCCACGGGACACTTCGTGTTTTTAATCCGTCCGGACAGTAATTTAGTTTAAAAGCAAACAATAGAGGATGAACGTAGGGATTATCTATTGTAATGGCAGCCATCAAGTGTTGATGACTGATAAAGAAACAGCCACTTGACAGTAAAACTGGTGATTACTTCTCACTTTGTTAATTTCGTGTTACACAATCCGATATCATATCTACAGTTTGTTTAACGTTTTAAGTCATGTATGTAATTATTTTAAGGATGTAGAATGGCTGTGCTATTTAGTAGAAACCTCAAACATTTCAAAAGTGATATTTTCATTTATTTCGTAGACTCAGGATAAATGGTTGTTGTCGGGATATCAGGGTTTTCCTTCCTAGGGTACACCTGGTTCCCCGGCAACTGATACCCGAGACAGCGTGCGGTTTTTGGTCGGTTCGAGTCCGACATAACCACCATAGAAAAAAGAAGGATAAATGGTTGTAAATTTATCTATAGTATGTATGTGTTAAGTATGTCTATGAGGAGTTTGGTTGCCATAGTGCAGGTTCTAAGCTAGTCGGGATCAAACGGCCGTGTGTGACGTGTGTCAAGCTCTTATTATTATTACTTAAACATATATTAATTAGTGTTCCTAAAATATGATGAAGATATTTAATAAAATTAAGTAAACTTTTACAGGGCTGCTTGATTGACTGACTAATTTTATTCCAAATTTTATATTTGGTATTTAAATATTGACGAACAAGTGTATTCATATATCACATTTTCTGTCTCTAAATTTACACATCACACATCACATCAACAGTCCACTGCTGGACATAGGCCTCTTCTTATAAAGGCGGTTTTGGCCTACTATAAAACGCTTTAGGGGGAGACGGGTTGGTATAGGGTTTGTGTCAGGTTTTCTTTCTCTTTGCAGTGCTGTTGTCCTGCGTAGTTTGCTTCCTTAGTCGGCTCTTACGACACCCACGGGATGAATAGGGGTGGCGACACTCTGTATTCTTAATCCGTCACCACTCGGACATTTTTTTACACATAAAATTAATCTGCCCTTTTTTGCCTGCTTTTGTCATCTCTAAGCGGGTAACATAAATAATGTAAAAAAATAATGACACGAGCGAAGTCGCAAGCATTAGCAGTTTATATTAATTTAAATAACCTCCTTTGCGAAGTGAAAAAGGCTTCGTTTCATGGAACTGGACCCTACAAATATTACCATAATTACTTATAAGGAAAAGATTTAAGTAAAAAATCGAGTATGCTTTAGACCACCCGACTGAAGTCAAACTTCTTGGCTATGCGAGAAAGCGAGAAAGAAAATGTGTGCTCGCATCCATCTCTGTTTTAACCCCTATAGTAATATATGAAACGTAACTCTCTCACTTTCTATCTTCACTAACTTATATCTCCCTCTCAACTTCCGTTCGCCTCGCCCGATCACACTTTTCGTAACGCTCTTGTCACGCATTCACCAGTTTACTCCCCACGTCAAGCGTTGACGCTCAAAACAAAGTTTGAAGAACGTTTGAAAGAAGTTTTACTTCAAAAACGGAATCGACTAGGCAAATACCCAAACCATTTAAATTATTTCGTCGTGACACAAACAGTTTGCGTGTCATTGAATAGTCAAAGTTTGGGTGACTTTTATCATTACGTCTAATACCACGTTATTTATTTCATAGTTAAATTATTGTATTTCATTCTACAATAGAATAAGGAAAGATAATCGCCATTCGTTTAATATGATGTCGGAACGTTAGTCGTAAATTTGCATTTATAAACGTAACATTTCCTTCGGCTATTCGCTTTGGTAATAAAATATTATTTGGTTAACTTGATGACATTTGGATTGAGGTGAATGGCCGCCTATTGTTTTTTTATGTCTGTCGAATGTCAGTTAGCTATATGATCTTTGTATAATGTGTGTTTAGGTTGATTTTTGCTTAGACTTATGATGTCTCTGTCCTCCTATCACAGGATAAGCATACTGGTACTTACTTCACTACCCGTTTGATGATTACGGCACGCGGCTGGCCATAAAAAAACCTACCCATGTGTGATAACCCTTAGCAATGTTGAACCCAATATACCTAATTGAGATGATGATTTTTGTATAAACTTAATTATTTAAATACCTGTACGAATACGTTTCGAGAAGCTTGCAAGCCTTTAATTGCTTAAAATTCTCAGGACTACGCTGCTCCGCTCAGCCGCTCATTGCAGCGTACCCATAATCTCAGACAGGACTGTCTCATCAACATGCCTCTTCCTTGCAGGACATAATCGAACTAGAGAAGTGTTTCTGGAGTCTTCGAAATGCAGCTCCAACGGGACAGTTGGACGCCGAGAGTCTGTCTCCGCTGCTGTCGCCTCCACTACCGGCAGCTGCCATCGCGGGTGCGTTTCTTGCCTTCGATGAGAACAGAGACGGACATGTGGATTTCAAGGAGCTGTGTTGCGGGCTCAGCGCCGCTTGTAGGGGACCCAGGACTGAACGTTTAAAATGTAAGTTTTTGTTTTCATTTATCTCTTATTTTTGAAGTGAAAACTTGTTTAGGCGCGTTGGGCATTTTTGAACAACAAACAAAAGAATGTATTTTTTGAGATGGGAAAAAACCATTGAACTCCCTACACTGTTACCGTTACCGACACCTCTGTATATAAGTATCTACAATTATATTGGCCCCGTTTACACGAGAGTTGAGTTTGGGTTGAAATACATTGATATATACAGCCCTGTCTAGTTTAGATCAAACGGTCGTGTGTGAGGTTATAATTATTATTATCACTGCTACTAAACGTTTTTAACCAAATATTACATAGGTATATTAATATTATTAATTCGCAACACGTAAGCGTATTCAACACGTAATTCGGGTATTTTTTATCGTTTTACCCATGTTTTGTTATTTCATTTTTACTGGATATTGTGACGTGTTAAGGAAATAAAATTTAACAACTATACTGCTATGTTACGTGTTTGAGGCATTCAGTTTCCTCAATTATATTAACGTAATGGTCGGAGGTTACGAAATAAAACTTTTAGTTGGTGGTGATTCTAGTGGAAGATAGAAGTTTAGGATCTGATATAATCTAAGCAGAAATTCCCTTTGTACTAATGATGAAAGTACTTTCCTCGTGTACTGTTACTATTATACACCTTTTGAGATCATGCTAAACGATAAACGGATGACAACTACACGGATGGCGTAGTGGTAAATGCGGCCGCCACGTTGCTTTCTACTGCGCTGAGTGTGATTTGTGGGGTCGATCCCCACATGGAACAACATTTTGTGTAATCTACAAATTGTTGTTCTTAGTCTGGGTGTTCTTTGTGTCCGTTTCATGTATGTTTGTTAAGTCACCCGCGACACAGGATATATTTCTATTGCGGGAGTTGTCTTTATAGAAAGAGAATGCGGTCGCCACGCCGCCTTCTACTGCGCTGAGTGTGAGTTGTGGGTTCGATCCTCACGTGGGACAACACTGTATGTGCTCCATAAATTGTTGTTTTGAATCTGGATGTTCTTTGTGTCCGCGATACAGGATATATTCCTAGTGCGGGAGATGACTTTAAACAAAAAAGAAAAAGAAGAACATACCTAAATAATTTAAGAAATGAATATTCTATGACATTCAATAATACAAAAAAAAAAACCTCAAATGGGACAACACTTTGTGTGATCCACAAATTGTTGTTCTGAGTCTGGGTGTTCTTTGTGTCCGTTTCGTGTATGTTTGAAAGTCCCCCAAAACACAGGATGGGAGCTGTCTTAAAAAAAAAAGCTATAAAAAAGACTATAAAGAACGACTGTTTTTAAAGTGTTTAAAGTAAAAATAAATGTACATATGGATTACAGATGGCTGGCCAACCACATCTCCCTAACCCAAATTTAGGTATAGTTACAGGGCACATATTATTTATTCGTTCAGTTATATGGGTTAATGCGTAGAGCTTATGAGAATACTGAGAACCAATATAAATTCACGATCATAATTTTATAACCGTCTACATTACGAATTATCTAAAGGAAAGTCCTTCAATAAAACGTACATATCGATAAGTTCTCTAGGTATTAGCATTAGGTCTTTAACGCAATTGGAAAAGTTTTTTTAGTACTTATATACTTCACTGTCACAACTTCACTACAAAGAAAATACTTTTTGGTACGAGTATACTATTTTTCATATATTTTTATTGTTTACATGACAATATATAATAATTGTGTATTCATTTGTGATTTATCGTGTGGTGACGAATTAAGAATACAGAGTGTCACCACCCCTATTCAGCTCGTGGGTGTCGTAAGAGACGACTAAGGAAGCAAACTGCGCAGGACAACAGCACTGCAGAGAGAAGGAAAACTTGAAACAAACCCTAAACCAACCGAAATAATTGGTATAGTAGGCCAAACCTCCTTCCTAGGCCTAGGAGATGCCTATGTCCAGCAGTGGACTAGGAAAGGCTGTTGATGTGATTCATTTGTGATCAACGCGTTCAATAGGTATTAAATATCTTTTAATTGGCTGACGTGTCGACTGCAGTTCTCGAACTTGAAACTAAATCAAAAACATCCTTTAGTAGCGAACCAAATAAGAAAGTGAAAAGAAAACCACCTCTAGGCTTCTTTATCAGACCAGAACACAAGCTATTGAGTTCAAAAAGAAGCAAGTCAATACGAACGAACGAAGGTTTTGCCCTGCGCTTTATTGGAGGACGAAAAGGGTGGCAACGCGCTTGTGAATCTCGAGTTAAAGGTGTCCAGGATTGGCGGTAGTCGCTTACCATCAGGTGACCAAGGCCCGATTCTGCTATTTTAATATTATATCTATTATCTATCATAGTAATATCATATATCAATAGACTGTCGATGGAATGTCGTCGGAATAGTTTGCACTTTTCGTATTCTACTAACTATGTGAAACCAATGGCTGACACTGAACTGCTAGTGATACAAAGTCGTCGATATCTTTATAATAGTTTAGTAAACAGTACATTTTTAATTTATAAGGAAATGATATATTTAATTCTCCAGATATCGCAATGTTGTTGATATCACCACTAATGAGCCATTGTCACTACATCGACTGAATTTATGTTAATAGAATACCGATATTATGACTATTGTCAATGGCGTTCCTATGGCATCACAATAGCATGTCAATGGAATGACAGTGGTTTGTACGTTAACAGAAACAGCGGAATTGGGGCCCAGTCTGTTTGTTTGCTCCCTATACCGTGAAATGTAAATTCGCTTCAGTATCGACCACAGAATGCGCTCCAAAAATGTATTTTAAACAAATAACTTCTATACACAGAATTAAACTTTTTATAGATTTTATTTCGTGTCGTGACATATAAAGAATACGGAGTGGGACTAATCCCGCCCACACGCCCACCACTGTAACTCCTGTACACCAGGATCCACAGCAGTGACCCACGAACACACCGAGTTATGACACTCGGGAAGTCCCAGGAAGAAATTAAACTGTCTTGGAACCCGCAACGAAATTAATCAGAAGAAAATTGGAGGAGTTGGAAATACAGTAAATCCACTTCCCTCCTTAGCAAAGCGGGAGACAAAATGAAGTAAAATGGGCATACACCCTTTTAAACAGGGAAGCACCACGGCCACAAATATTACGGGTCCTACGTGAGCTATGTTTGATTTCTATAATATGTATGGCAGAATCGCCTAAACGCACGGAAATTCACCCTAGTTGACACAAGATCCCCATAGTATACCGCCCCAGATGTCACCTGCAAGCTATTCAGCATTATATTACGTTCATTATACCAAAGACTACATTCCCAGAGGATATGATGAGCAGACTGTTCATAGTGAGAGTTAGGTGTTGAGCATTGACACAATGGTGACTCGACTAATTTAAATGAATAAAGAATACGGAGTGTCACCATCTCTATCTTAAGAGCCGACTATAGGAGCAAACGCAGAACATTGGCATTGCAAAGAGAAGAGACACTTGACACAAGCCCTATACCAACCTGTCTGGTCAGCGTGGTGTAGTAATCCAAAACCTCGTTTCTAAGGAGAGGCCTATCTCCAGCAGTGGACTATAAAAAGCTGTTGATGATGATAGTTTTATACATAGATTTTAATTGTAAGTCTAAAGTAAATTTCCCCTGTTGATTTAACTGACGAACAATATCATATATAAACATCTACTGCGGAATAATTTTATCTTATCTCTAAAAGGTAATTGTATTAATCTGTGTCAAGAGTATTGCATCAATAAATGTCTATACAGGTCGTTGAATAAACCAGTTTTAAATCCCTAACTCACAAGTGAAATTGTTCTTTTTAAAAAGCAGAAGGTGTACAATTCTGCTATGTTTGTTACTTTAGAACTCCGGCATTCTTGAACCGATTCAGAAAATTCTTTTTTAATTAGAAGGTTTTAAGTCTTCCAGTTTATGATTCAAATATCGTTTCATTTTGTAGACAAAATCACATTAAAGTATCAATGTTTACATAATTTGTTTCCATAGAATTTTAGAAGAAAAACCGAAGTTTAGGCAGCCCTGAGACATATTTGTATGAAACATAAATTTTCTTTTGTAATTAGTTGCTATTGTGTGTCTGTCGCTAACACGCCAATTTTCTTTAATTGTAAAAATACCAATTGCTTTGTAGACATATTCCACTATTTCCTTAGTTTTCATCATCATCATCAACAGCCTATACTAGTCCACTGCTGGACATAGGCCTCTCCTTAGTTTTAGTAGTTGAAAAACGAATGCCAAATCACAAATCAGTCATAACCTCATCACAGTGAGATAAATGGATGCGGTTTGTTAATAGGTCTCAATAACTGTGTGGCGACTTCTAAACCTAACCTAATGGAGACACTGAAATATGTTGTAACTACGTATCCTGTATCGCGCTATAGGTGTATATTGTAGCTCTGCCTACCTCTTTAGGTGTTCAATCGTGAGTATATTATGGAATATAGATAGTGTTTGCAACATTTGAAAATGATTAATACAGAAACTTTCATCCAGACTATGTTATTATGGCATTAATTATCTCATATCGCGAAAGTTTGGCCAAAATGATAAGAGAGTGTCAAAGCAAATACCGTGATATAATAACTACAATAAAACATTGTGTTCAAGGTTGCGAAGTCAACGCGTCACGTGATGATACTTATTATAAGAGACGCCTTTCTGGTACCTACAACGAGAAAGAGGTTTTTAAGAGGTTCATACCTCATCAACAGCCTTTAATAGTCCACTGCTGGACATAAGCCTCTCCTGAGAAAGGAGGTTTTGGCCTACTATACCACGCTTGCAAGACGGGTTGGTAAAGGGTTTGTGTCAAGTTTTCCTTCTCTCTGCAGTGCTGTTGTCCTGCTTAGTTTTTTACGACACCCACGGGATGAATAGGGGTGGTGACACTCTGTATTCTTAATCCGTCACCACACGGACCGTGTTCATGTTCATACATGTTATAAAACCTCGATTACGTAACAGCCAATATATG